TTTCATCACCTATTTCGCCAAGCGCCCCATCTCTCCGCCAAGGGTGCTACCCGAGCCATACCCTCAACAGAAGGGTTACTACGACCTTGACAATCAACTCAAGGAGTCGGGTCTGTGGCCCTTCGTCTCCCGCAGTCGCACCTCCTTCAATCCCGCCTACGTTCGGGCTTTCTACTCCAATCTCCGCCGGGACGGGGACACTATTCGCAGCAGCATCAATCTCGTGGACTTCGAGTTTGATTTGGCTACCTTTGCCCGGGTCGCAGGGCTGCCCACCCGCGGTGACGACATCGCAACATATGGCGGCGATGATTGGATCCTCAACAACGAGGCGGTGGTCATCCGAGAGCTTGGAATCACCAACCTCGTCCGTCACAGCGGCGCACCAACCATTCGTTTCCGGCTTGGATATGACAATATTCGAAGTCAGGTACGTCTTTAGCTCTTCGAATGCCCTGGCACATTCGTCATCCCACTGGAAGGTGTTGGATTTCTTTAAGACTTTAAAGAAAGGTAAGGCCTTCTCAGCTGATCTGGACAAGAACCGGTTTAGGACCGCCAAGCGCCCCGTCAATCTCTGGACATCCCTTACCGAGGTTGGGGGTTGCATCTCAACAATGGCCTTGATCTTCTCAGGATTTGGCTCAATCCCCCTCTTCGTAACCGTGAAGCCCAAGAACTTCCCCGTCCTTACGGCAAAAACACACTTCTTTGGATTAAGTCTAAGATTATGCCTAGCCATAATCTCAAAACATTTTTCCAGGTCTTGAGCGTGTGTGTTGGCTGTCCTGCTCTTCACCAGCATATCATCGACATAGGCCTCTATGGTCCGTCCAAGTAAAGGCCTGAACAATTTGTTGACCATCCTCTGGTAGGTCGCCCCTGAGTTTTTCAACCCAAAGGCCATCACCTTGTAACAGTATGTCCCATCCGGGGTGAGGAAGGCCGTCTTTTCCTCGTCATCTTCCGCCATGAAGATTTGATGATACCCTTTAAAGGCATCCATGAAACTTAGCAGCTCACACCTGGCGGTTTCGTCAACCATTTGGTTCGGGCTGGGGAGAGGATAAGAATCCATTGGGCATGCCTTGTTGAGGTCTGTGTAGTCTACGCACATCCTCCAGGTATCACCTTTCGGAGCCAGGACTACATTGGCCAGCCACTCAGGGTAGTTTACTTCCCTGATATGACCCACCTCAAGTAGGTCCTTAACCTCCTTCTTTACAAAATCTCTCCTATCACTTGCCAAAAATCTCTTCTTCTGTCTTACAGGCCTAGACCCCTCAAGAACAGAGAGACGATGGCAAATGACCGACCGGTCAATTCCGGGCATATCAGCAACACTCCAGGCAAACAAAGATTTATACCTGGTCAGCACCTGGACAACCTCAGTCCTTAGCTCCTCCTGAAGATCAACCCCAATCTTGACCTTCCTCTCAGGATTGGAGGCATCAATCTGGATCTCCTCCGTGTTTGCATCCAGCTCGATTCTAGCCTTCTCCTCTCCCTTGTCTACTTGCTGGGAGACCAATTCAATTTGTTCGAATTGCCGGGTCATTTTCTTGACTGCTTCCAGGTAGCAGGACCGGGCATTCTTTTGATCACCCCTTTCCTCCCCGATCCCATTGGGAGTGTAGAATTTCATGCACAAGTGTGCCATAGAAATGATGGCCCTGACCTGGTTGATTCCAGGTCTACCAAGAATGGCATTATGTACACACTTGATATCAACCACAACAAATCTCATTTGCTTGGTTACTGTTTTGTTACCCGACCCCAAGGTAACTGGTAAGGTGATCTGACCTTCCGCTTCTATGCTAGCTCCAGTGAAGCCTGACAATGGAGTTTGCAACGGTCTCAACATGGACCTGTCCAGCTTCAATTTCTTGAAAGCATCCAAGTATAGAACATTGACACTGCTTCCTGTGTCAACCAG